AGACTAAAGCTGGAGAACAGCTCATGGGCCATGACCTAGAGACAGTTCAATTCAGTAGTTAGGGGAATTTCATGTGAAATCCGAGTTCTGTAGATAATTTCTTGGCATGGAATCAAATATCCTTTTCTCTTCTCAGTCCCCTTCAGAACAGCTCCCTATATCTGCATCAACCCACTTGCCTTGCTTACAAAATGTAAATGCTTATTTCCTTCCCCCTCCTGCTTCTCAACAATGAAACAATATTACATATAAAATAAGCTTATTGTGCCATGAAACTGCAATCCATTTCAGTGTCAATTGCACAAATCTCAAAAACTAAAGCTCTCTTAAATCTCTACAGGTTTCAAATTGAGATCAAGCCAGGAAATACTTCTGTTGCTGATTTAAAATCAATGTTTTGCATTTCATTTATCTTGCACTAAACACTCTTGCATCTCCTACACTGGCAGAGACAGGATAAACTGATTGACCGTATCAAACAGATAACTTACAAGACAAGCTTTCACCCCTCTCACAGAACAACAGCAATTTCAACCCTGAAAGAAACAACGTGGTAGCAGCTTCCCGGCCCTCCCATAGCGCCTCTGTGCCTGCATCTGCCTGCCCAATTCTGTCTCTGCATTGGAAACTCCTTAGCGGAAGGGCCTGAAGTTTGCATGCTTCCACCTTTCACGCTGTGAGTCTCCCTGCAAATTCTTCCTCTGATCAAACTGGCTTCTTCCTGGATTGTCTTTGAAAGTCTCTCTCTGCCCAGCCATACTTTAAGATAGCTACAAAGGCAAGGGCTAAGAAGAAAAGAGAAGAGAGAAGAGAGAGGAGAGAGAGAAAGAGAGGGAAGAAAAGCTAATTGAGTCTACCATTAATAATTTTCACTGATTTCACCACTGAGCTCTGGGTGACCCACTCTGGCCATCTGTCTCTTCTCACTCTTTTTTTCAAAGCCTGCTATGTACAGTATGAGAAAAGGGCTGGGTTTCTACACTCCTGCCAAATGCAGGTCCTGCACTTTCAACTGCCAGCACTTCATGTAAAATGTACTGCACTAAGCTGGGAACAAATAGATTTATTTAACAAAAGTTCAACACAGGGATAAATCTGTCAGCCTTAAATCATCTGCAATCTCTCTCTAACGAGAGCATGAGGCTTTAAGATTATGCAGGATAACTTTCTGCTCAGCTGGTGCTCCAATGCGCTGTGATCTTGGCTCTCACAGCAGAGAATACCTACAAGGCTGAAAAATGGGTGTGCGTGGGATCTAACACACAGAGATGTTGAAGGTCACAGACTCCAGCAAACTTCCATTTTTTTTCTTCCATTTATTTTCTTCTGAAAGTTATTTTCTATGCTCCTATTTAATTTAGGATTGGTTTCACTAGGTCAAGTTGAAAAAGATTCTATCAATGCCTGAGATGGAAGGATTTATTTTCAGAGAAAAAAATTAGAAGCAAATTATTTCTTTGCTAAGGAGTATAAGCACACTGAACTGTGATTGTCCTTCTCTGCCTAGGCTCAATTCCACAGGTCACATATCTACTGCATTCAGTACCAACAAGATGGGTCCTGTGAAAAGGAAGGCTTTAATACTCTCTTCCTCCATGGCTTCCTACATTTGGTGCTTCTCTGTCAGCATCCCCTTTCATGCATGCCTAGACTGGGACTGACCACAGCCTCCTAACACACTTTTAAATGCCATCAAAACAGCACTGGAGGTGTTACACCTGCCTACTGCATCACAAAACTCCACCATAAAAGCTTCTCTTTCACTTCCTCCTGACTGCTTGCTGTTCTTTTACAGAATGCCCTGCATCTGTCACTTGCAAATTGAAGAGCAACCTATTTTGTGATCCTTCAGCCAGCAGATTCGTCTCGGTACTTGTTCAATTTTGACAGTTCTCCATACGAGTTTGAAGCAGCATATCTTGTTTGTTCAGCACCCCTTTGAAATGATGTTCACTTCTGTAGCTGCACTTTGTCTAAACTGGAGATGATAACAGCGTAAACCCATTGTGGTTTACACTGAAAGAATAAACCCCTCATTTATACTTCAGATCTGTGTCCGAATATACCAAGATTAATACTAGATAAAGCTCATCCTGTAGTCAAGCAAGCATGGGCTTAACCATCATTCTCACCTAGTTCATACAGTAGCTTTGTTTCAGCTTCTAACGAAAGCACTGCTGATAATTTTGACTATTTACTTTCTTTCCAGTTCTCTTCTGAGTTTCCCAGGTTAGCCTGTTCTCAGTCTATTCTCATGCAACTGAGAAGCTAAGTGTTTCAGAAAGCAGGCTTTCTAGGTGCTTTGATAATTCTTTCTTTCTTTCTCAATTATATTGTTTAAATGCAAGTTATTGATCATTATAAGACCCTCATAAACCCTAAGATGGAATGTTATTTTACAGATACCAGCCATGAAAGTATTGCAATAACGAGTAACATGGGAGGTTTTCATGACACTTTTCTAGATATTCCTAGCCATTACATTCTGCATTTGGTTAAATTTAATGTAGAGAGGGCATGCATTTAAATATACCCTGATGAACACATTTTCTGGGACTTAAATAGTAGCGCAATTACAAAACCATTCCTATTTACTCTAGAAAGTATGTTTAGTGCTGCTGCTCCCTAGTTTTTAACGTAACTCCAGAACAGACTCTTCAGATAGCATTCCTTTTAAACAGCCTACCTTTTAAGAAGTATTTTTGTTGCCAATTTCTCAGCTTCTGTGCCATAGTTAGTAATTGTTGCTTAAAGTAAGCCTAAAAATACTTTTCTAATATTTACGTAGAGAAGAGCACAAAAGCATGAAAAATACCACATGCATGGATAGCTCAGGGCATACACATCTGCAGTGCTTTTTATCTTCCCTCATGGTGGACAGCTACTCTTCTCTCTACTACTAAAGCTGCTATTTTTAGGCCTTTAATTAAAATAGTCCAGTTTAAAATAGTGCATGCCAACTATATTGTCGGTATTTCTTCAAACACAGTACAAACACAAACGACGGATAGCACAAAATTAAAAAAAAAAAACATTAAGTGCCTAATGTATTTGGTACCATCTGACCTGATCAAACCTCTGTTACAGGAGTCTTTAGTTAGCTCACTAGTGAAAATACAGATGTAGCTACAGGTGTTCATGCAGTTCTCAAGGAACCTGAATTAAAAGAAAAACTGAAACACACGACGACACTAAAGGAGAGAGCAAGAATATATTCCCTGTGGCTACATGGCAGTCAAGGATTTGCAGAGAGATTTAATTGATTTTGAAAAGCTGGTAGTCAGACATCAATTAAAAGCAGACACATTTGACAGCTAAGCAGTGAGTTGGTCATCTAACATTCTACCTGTAAAATAGGATAACCAAAAGACCTAGAAGGACTTTCTGTGTATATGAAGGCACCAGCAAAGATACGTTACAAGGAATCAGCAAGCTAAACTCACCCATTAAACCTAATATTTATGAAATAATAATCATTGGCCTAAGCTTTACACATGTTTTTGCCAAAACACCCCATGGAACTGAAAGTATTTGTTACACCAATGCAGCCCACTGGAGGTCAAGTTACATCCAGCAGTTTAAAATAAATTTAGTAATAAAGGGCAAAGTTTAGGCCACCATCCTCTTATATAGTACTAGAATCATCTGGGTTGCCACATGTATCACAAAGTAACATGTCCTTTAGGACTTTTGGTGAGAACAAAAAAGGCTCATAATATGATGGCTGGCTTACAGAGATGCAAAAAAGATTAAATAATTGTTCCCATAATCCATTAATTAGATGGACTGGATTATTAGATTGGAGAAGAAGTTTTCCTTCATAGAACACCATGGTATAAGATTGTTATCTCAGTTTTAGGCCACCTGCTATGATGCTGGAAAATAGTGAAAATGGCAAACTGAACTAGAAACAAAACCTGAAGACTTTATACCAGTCTTCTGTACTGATGATACCACAGAAGAACTTTAATGCAAAGAGAGAGATACTTTTGCATCCCTCTCTGTAAAAGACACTTAGTATCACACATCTGATTATACAGCAGGACTACATCAGAATCTTCTAAAACAAACCAGACTTCGTTAAATGTACATATATAAATATAGGAGATCTATATATACATATAAAAAAAAAATACCACCTTGATAAAAATGGAAAAACTCCATGTCTAATCAGAAATCCTATAATAGCACATTGTGAATGCAGAAAGAATGCCTTAGGTTAGAACGGTTTCCAAACATTTGATTTTGTGAATGTGTGGTGTCCAAAGACAAATAAAAGATATTTCATAAATGCCTATCCTCTGTGCAATAGCAAGGCTCAGTGTAATAGTGCTGTCAGTCTGCTTTGTAAAGCTCCAATTTAAACTTAATTTACCTATTTCCCATGTCATTCTTTCATCCACTTGGAGAAACAGGAATGTTTGCAATCACAGCCTTCCGACTGCTAAACAGTTTCTTGGCACATAGGTAGCTTGTGGCTTGAAGCAGCTTTCCAGCAGAATGCCACTTAAAATTTTACAGGACATTATATCAGCTAAGATGGTGTCCCAAGACCGGGGTAAAAAAGATGAGTGGTGAAAAACTGTGTTTGCCCCCCTATTTCTGTGAGGAATCACATTAAAAAAATAAAGGGCAGTTTTTGCCTTCCACTTCTGTACAGGAAGGAGACCCTTGATGACTAGTTTGCATTGTTTCTGCAGTTACCCTCCGAATGCGTCAAATTAAGTTGCAAGTTCTATGTTGTATTTCCTGGACTACCATGAAGAGTTCCAGAATGAGTGTCAGCCTAAAGATCACAGTATATAACCCACAGCCACTGGATTAAACTGCTTTCACCTAGTTTTTCTGCTTCACTAGCTCCAGATGCTTAACTCATGTTCCATTTTGTTTGTAACTAAGGTGGCATAAGGAAATTGCACACAGAACAGAGCTCTCTCTGGATTATGTACTAAAAGAATCAGTGTTCCCAAAAGACTCAGAATTGTTTTACTAGATCTCACCTCCTCAACCATGTGCTTGACTTTCTTCTGTTGGCAGTGGACCATATCATCCAGATGTTTGATTCGCTCTCTTAGGCTAGCTGCTACCTCTTCCAAATGCTGTGACCTAGCAGAACATGGAAGAATTAAGCATATCAGTGGGGAGCTATGGAGTATAAGCAAAACAAGAACAACCCCCACAATCCCACCATAAATCAGGAACGCTAGGTCAAGAGGTAGGCAAGTCAAATTCCACTGACAGATATCAATTTGTCCGAAGTACATTTTAATGGTAATCTTTTAGCCAAAGTCACTGCCTCCACCCAAGTTAACTCACCTTTGTCTTGCATACTGGCATGCTTAGTCAGAGCCTGAAGTGCTGACAATTAAACAATGTGACACAGCTCATCTCCTTAAGATGTCTGTTTTTCCTTGAAGTGAAAGGCATTTAGACAACTAGATCTTTATCATCAGAAAGACACTTTTATCCTGACTTATTACCACCTGCAAACTTTTTGGAAATAAATACTAAATAAAAGCCAGGAAGTACATCTGCTGGTGCCCTTTTAAAAGCTCTCCTGCTACAGGGAAGCCTTGAGTCAAGGATTTGGCATAGTTGCCAACAGTAGCAGAATGCTAACTGGAGTAGTATTAACTCATCAACAGTCAG